CCCCCCCCCCCCCCCCCCCCCCCCCGAAAGAGCCGGGGGCACTCGCCTTACCTGGCATCGAGGAACCTTGATCTTAAAATCATTACTGCTTCACAAGTACTTTGTTTGAGTTGCATCTGGATGGAGCTGAATTTTCGATGAATGATGCCCACCATCCTTTCAATCTCCTTGGGAGAAATGGGACGTGTCCGGCTCTGTTCTCTGAGAAGGTTCATCACATGTGTGGTAAATTCATTACATGCCTACAAAGGAAGGAAGGAAGGAGAAGCTTAGAAATTGTTTTGTGCCCTCCCACAAGGACACAAGCTCGGGCCTGGCTGCTGGGGGGGCTAGTGCCAGGGAGGCTGGGGGACCCTCACGCTGCCCCGTCCCCTCCAGACGCAGCCGCGGGAGCCGATCGCAGGCGCCCTGTCTGTGAGACCCGGGACTGTCCTGCAGCAGCCAGGGGAGCTGAGCGAACACGGCACAGCTCCTTCCGTGCTTATCCCTTTCGGAGCAGGCTGCGTCCCCGTGGCCCCAGCCAGACTGTGGTGGAGAGGAGAGCTCAGGATCGGCACGTGTAATGGCTGCAGACAGAAGGATGCGAATGGGGACCAGCATGTGCTCAGCAGCCAAGCGTGTAAAACCTGGGAAGGGCTGCCTGTCCTGCAACCCACCGAGCCCCACGCAGGCAGCAGGCAGGCTTAACACCCCGCAGCAAGTGAGGAGCTCTAGTCCCTTCTGAGGCACCTTGTGTGTCCCCTTAGAGGGTGGGTTTCAGTGAAGCTGTGCCCGAGCCTGGCCCGCACTGCGCTGCCGAGGTGCTGGAGGAGGAAAGGCACGAGGAGACATCAATTATCAGTCCCAGACTGTGCAGGCGAACGGACACGATGATATAAACTTCTCCAGGCTGCATCATCAACAGACGCCGCCTGATCCGAGCCTCCGCATGACCAGGCGGCTGTCACGCTGGCATCCCGGCTTCCCCCACGCAGGCTGGAAGCTGCCACAAACTCTGCTGATTTATGTCTCCCTTATCTCTTTCAAAAACAAACCCTGGGACTGCTGTTTGCTAGGCAGAGCTGCGTGGTGGCCACGGGGCTAATCCCTTCCTGGGGGCCAGCCTGGTATTCGAGCATGTTTCGGGCACTAACCTACCCCTGTCCTGATGGAGTCCTGGGAAAAAAAGAGGGGCCGGGCACTGCGCTGGCCCCCACGGGGTCTATGGGCAGCCCAAGGCAAACTGCTCTCTGCTCCCCAAACCCTTATCAGATGAAGGTGGATGTATGCAAGGCTGATGCATCTGTGGGAGGTCTGTGTGTTGGCTGTGCAAGGGCCAGCCATCGTAACGCGCCGCAGGGCTGCAATCACGGCCAAATAAGGCCACAGGATTTCACTTTCGTGCATCTAACGTAACGGGCGATGAGCACGACACTCAGCAGCCAGTAAATCGTGCGGTGGAAACACTGCAAGTATCTCGTCCAGACCCCATACGTTACATATCCATTTGACTCTAGCTCCCCTTTTTCCTCTAAAGTCAGGGTGAAAAATATCTACGTAATTTGTCTGACAACCACATTTTCAGGGATTCTCTTGCATTTCAATAGATTGTGCGAGGGAAAGAGTTAAAAGTGAAAAGTTTATGCATCTAAAAACTCATAATTTCCTATAACATTTGCTGAACGTCTCACAACTTATTAAGTGAAGCCATCTATGAATGCAAATGCTGATTAGCAATTTGGCAATAGCCCAACATTCGCAGAATTCACATAGCTTTTCTTTAAACCAGTAGTTCATACATGATTAATTAGAACATCTCATTTATGTAGTGTGCACTTTAGCTCATTACTCTAAGTAAAATTCGTTAAGTATTTACATTTAGATAATTAAAATCTGGGTACACCCTTAAGAAAGATGCATACACTTCAGGCAAAGTGATTTTTTTTTCTTTACACTACCGAAAGTAAATTACAGGCTAATTTACATCCTTGCTGCACCCGTTTGGAGGCAGTGCTTCGGCGGGGCTCGGTGAGCCTTGGTGCAGACACCCTTCGCCTGCTACCGCCGAGCGCGCCGGGGTCACGGTGCCGCGGAGGCTGCACCACCTCACCACTGCTCCACGCCAGCGCAGACACGACGGCTCCTCCCACCAGCTGCCGCTCCCTGACTTTCTCAAGACTTTGAGCTCCAGGTTAAGGAGTTCGACACGTCTCATCCTCGCTTCCCATTTGCATCTTTTCTTTCTGTTTTGACATTTCAGGCAGCAAAGCTCACGGAGGTGACCAGCCACCATCCCCTCTTGCCACACCAAAGAGATGGGGATGCTGCCCTGAGCACCCCCAGCCACCCTCCTCTCGCCCAGGGAGAGCAGAAGTTGTCCTGGGTGACCTGTTTCCCCTCCTCCCATCCCAAAGCTTTGTCCTGTGTGAAGGCAGACCCGGCACAGCAGCTCGCCCGCCTGGCACAGGAGCGGGCTCCGAGCCCCCAGGGAAGCGCGGCAGCCCCCGGCCTGAGCAGGGGAGGCAGCCGGGCACCGGTGCCTGCTCCCGCTGGCCTCGCTGCACCGGGACCACATCCCTCCTGTGTGTCGTCTGCTGAGCTGCCTGGACAATCTTAGCATGCAAAGCTTGGGTCCAGCCATCCGACTGATGGCAAAAGCACCAGCTTTGGCTCACCCGGTAAACGATGCACAGAGATAAGGTAACGTAGGCACCGAAATGCAGCAACTCCTCCCTGATACAAGAGAGCAGCTCTGACTGTCCCAAAGATACGGCTGAATCCAAGTATTTGGCACTGAAAGAACATTTCAGGCATACAGCTTGCCACGTGCCCCCTTGTTTGCAGATCCGGGGAATTCAATTTTAAAGTACAATAAAAATGGCAACTTTTGCATTAAAAATATTTTCAGATATGTCTTTTCCATGAGAAATATTTCACCACAAATATAGTATCAAAAATTGTATGTTTCAAAGCTAAAGTGAGTTTCTTGCTTTCAAGAAGCAAAAATCTTTCCCTGAATTTACTTGAATTTCTTGCTGAGACTTCGTTTGGTTACAGCTACTTAGAGGGCCTGGTTTTAATTTATCTTCACCAGCACCTCCCATCTGCAGAGCTACTTCAGTGCAGCAGAGTGGAAGTAAGCTCAGAAGACTCTGATGCTTTGTCTTGTTTTCTCTTGTTTATTTATAGCATCCAAGCTACTTGATACCTTTTCAGTACTATTTTTCAGGCCTCTGCTTGGTGCCCGAGACATTATTAATAATGTCAGGTTATAAGTGATGGCCTTGTTAACCTGCTCAGAAACCTTGTAGGAGCGGGGATGCTCCTGCTAGCCTTAATGCTTCATCAGGACTCCTCAGACGAGCGCAACAAAAAGAAAGGAAATGGCCCAAAACACTCTTCAGGGGCACGGCACCAGCCAGCGCTCTGTGGGGCTGGTGGTGTCTTCCGAGCAGCCACTCTTCACCCCAATTTGAGGTGAAATCAGAAGACATCTGTGAACTCAGGAAGCAGGTTCCCGGCTGCTCCGGGAGGCTGGGACCCTTACAGTACTTTTGCCTACAGCAAAAAATGTATTTCAGTGTAATTATAGAAGATAGCTTTCAATATGTCATCTCTATTATAGTAGCTGTAAATTATGGAAGGAGCTGCCTGTGTATGGCCATTTCTCCTGGCGCATGGCGAGGGGAGAGCTGTGTGATGGCGTGACACACTTTCCATTTCTCTTTCTTTTTTTTTTTTCCCCGAGTGCATTCCCCTAACTGGCAACAAATGTCAGGATCAAACTCTGCCTGGAAAGCATCTCCAGGAAGACGCTCTGGTTCCTGCTGCCAGCTGCAGCGGGGCCACAGGAGCACCTGCGCCAGGAGAGAGATGGCAGGAGCTGCTTCCCCCGGCGCGGGCAGGTGCCCCTGCGTGGGGGCTGAGCTGCTCCCCGGCTGCAGGAGGGCACCCGCCTCTCAGGAACCTGCAGCCGCTGGAGGCAGAGATGCAAAGTCCTGGCTGCCTCTCGGCTGCAGAGACGGGCACTGCGTTGAGACAAACCGGCAGGAGACAGTTTGCTGCAAGGCTGGGGAAATTATCATATTTCTGTAGAGCAGACATTGCTGGGTGTCAGGATCAACAGGGAAGCGTACATGTTTCAGATCAGCTCCACCTCTCTCTCCTTCTCCTAGCAGCACTTGAGCATCCTCCAAAGTTTCCTGTGGTGTGGACGGATGGCTGTGACATTTCAGCCGAAACCTTTGTAAATGGAGCTACAGGGCTAAAAATGCTACTGCTTCCCCCACATCATTAAACTTATTAGAGTCAAAGGACACTTGCCAGGAAATGGCTGCAAGCACCGACCCGCAGTTGCTTTGGCCCCAGATCTGTCTCCAGCCTGTGTCCCTGTGGTTTTATAAGACACTCTGCTGCTGGATGGTGCTCGTTAATCTGACAGCCATCCCCATCTCAGCGCTACGGGCTGCATGCTGGCCCTGCGGTGCAAGGAGAGCCCAAGGGTCCATGCAGGACATTTGGGGTCCTTGGAGGATGCAGAGGGGGTTTGTTTGAGGGAGAAAAGGAGATTTGCACAAAGCCCCTATCAGTTATTTGCTCAGTTATTTGTTCACCACTTGAACAACACAGTGAAAGAGGCGGCACAGATGAGGCAGTGCCGCCGGCACCTGAACCACGCCGGCCTCGCGCCACCCAGGCCACGGTCCCACCGGCCTCTGCAGCAGGATGCTGCGTGGACCGTGCCGGCAGGCACCGTCCCCCCACAGCTCCTCCACGCTCCACCAGTGCCCCACACCCACTCCCCACCACCCCACCGCTTCTGCCCACTGCTGACGCTCGGCCGGCACCGGTCGGCTGTGTC